GTGAGGTGGTGCAGGCTCCCACCCTGGGGGTTTTTAAGAGGAGGTTGGATGACCACCTTACTGGGGTCATTTGACCCCAGTGCTCTTCCTGCCATGGCAGGGGGTTGGACTAGATGATCTGCTCAGGTCCCTTCTGACCCTAGAAACTATGAAACTGAAATCTTTCAGCCAAGACTAGATACCTCTCAAAAAACTGTTTTAGTTTATGTAGTTGGCCTGCAGACAGGAATTATTGGATGCAATCTATGGTCTGTCTTATACAGAACTATATGCCCAGCATTTTCTAGCAATATCTCTCTTAGCAAGAGTTAATTCAATTCCTCTAGTCTACAGTATTCAGATATGCAGAAAAAAGATGTTCAGAATGCAGTCTGCTCAGTTATCAGTGGGTCATTACAGGGATTCCAGTTTTCTCTGATAAAAAAAAATATCCCACATTTTCCGGTTCAAAATAATAACCCAAAAATCCACATTTGTCCATGATTAAAATGAAACACCAATATTTATGTGTGTGTGTCTATTTATTAGTGGCACTTAGCGGAAACACACAGACACACACACACACGTGTGTGTGGGTCTGTTTCCGCTAAGTGCCACTAATAAATAAACACACATATATAAATATTGGTGTTTCATTTTCATTTATATATATATATATATATTAGTGGAGTTTCATTTTAATCATGGAAAAATGCAGATTTTGGAGGGGGGGGGCATTAATCAGAAAATTTGGGATTCTTTTTAATCTTCTTTTAGAGAAAACCAGGATCCCTGGTCACTAATCTGTATTTTGTGTCTCATACCTTGGCAGCAGCCAGACCTCCAGATCCCCCTCCAATGACAATTAGGTCATAGTCATAGGACTCCTGCAGGTGATTAGGTCCATTCATTTCAAGTAGTTTTTGAAGCTTGCCTTCTTCATGCGCCTGAATAGAAGCAAAATGGAGAAAAATCCTTTTACATCAAAGGCTACCCTTAGTTCTCAAAAATATGAAGTACAGTGAATACTTCCAGTGGCAAACCACTACTAGGGGAAATAAACAGATGAGTTTGGATGCTACTAATGTTACTCCTAATTATCTTTTTGGGATCTTTCATTTTGCATTGAAACTTTCTAATTCCTATTCAGATAACTCAATTTCTATATAGATACAAAAGCAAGAATGTGTTGCTTCTGAATAAGTTTGTTTAGTCTCTGAGCAATTTAGTGTTCTGCACCTAACCTACTTTAGTATTTGCTTACCCAATATGATATGATAAGTATGCACGCAACAGGACTATTTAGTATTCCTTTAAAAAGCCCCTTATACCATTTAACAACCATAGTTAGTAGTCAATAAAATTGATTTCCAAAAACTTCACAAAGGATTTAGCAAACTCTTTTTTTCCTGCAGTTTGGCACTATAATTTCATTCTGAATTCCAAAAACACGGGACCAAATACAGGAGAGTCAACTGAGGTCAACAGAACTGCACCAGGAATAAACTTGGCCCCTGCTCTCTTTAAAAGATTATCTGTTTTTATTCTGCTCTAACAGTCATCTGACTCCTGAAATGCATTTTGACAGCTGTAGTTGGCAAAGCACATTCCATTTATCTTCATACCCCTGTCTCAAAATCGGTCATTGTATTAAATTTGTGGGGCGTCATTTCAATGGGGCTCTTGACTAAGTTAAAAAACAAAGGCTTGTGCCCACAAGGCCTGCTGTCATGAATGCTTCTGGGAAAATTCAAGCTGAAGGGCAAGATCTCTAGAGGGTAAGGATCAGATCCACGGCTGGTCTAAATCAACAAAGTTCCACTGAAGATATCAAATAACTTCCCAGACTCAGAAAAGACCTCTAGAAGAGAGAAAAGAGACCTCTGTATGTTAAACTGACATGGTCTCCTAGGAAACTCTGCTTCTGTCCGAATTTTTTAGCTGCAAGTGACACCTAACTTAGTGTAACTAGGAATGATTAATTTGAGCAAGAAACATTAAAGAAACTAAAAAACAAACTAAAAGGAGTTTTCCCTATCCATTCCATTTGTTCTGTCTGCTTCTGCATTTAGCAAGAGTTTTTTATGCAGTTCTACTGTTATTTCCTACAGGTTCAGCTGATCCCCTCCCTGAGATAAAATAATTGGGAATGGCATCCCTAGAAAGATCAGCAAATGTCCATCATAGAAACTTCCTTTTCAGAATCATGTTGTGGGGAAAATGAGGTTTCAGCCCCATTTGGTAAGGACTGAAGAGCCTGCCTTAAAAGCCATGGGCAGCCCAGAATCTGTGTTGAACTAGGATATTTCCAAGAGAGGTCCCATGCCCACATGTGAATACACCAGTTCGGACTCCTGATGCACTGCCCTGATGCACCCACCCTCTCAGTTCAGCTCCAACTGAGCCATGTTGTCATGACCTTTGGCCATGGGTACCCTTAGATATCCTAAAGGTGGGGGTGAGATAAAGGGCTTCACAGATGACATGGAATAGTAAATAATTTTATATTATCAGAGGAGGAATGATAAGCAATCTTTTACACCCATTATCTTCTGCACAGACCCAACAGAGAAGACATGGCCTATACTCAGTCAGTGGGTGATCCCTTCTTTTGCTTGTTTCTTTCATATCACAAAGAGAGAAAAAAAATAGATAAAAATCCAGCAGAGAAGCTGCAAACACTGGCAGAAAAATTCAGGCGCAAGAGTAACACCTGAAATTTTTTAGAAGTTGTCCCCTTAAAGCAATTCACTACTTTAATTATATGTCATGCATAGTTGTGTTGATTTGCCTGTTTGAACTACACAGAGATGTTACTTCCATTGTGAAAGTACATAAGAACACATGTAATAAAGAAACATTAAATACATACTAATATGCAAAACAAAACCAGGAAGTAAAGACTAAATAGCTACAGCCACATCCTACCCCAAAACACAGTATACAAATAGCATGTTAATTTCTTCATAAGGTAGCATTTATATCACAAATCATTCAAGCATCCTTTTCCCCCAAAACCCTATGTCAATTATCATTCAGTCAGAGTACCAGCTCTTCACAGAGTCAATATTCACCTTACACAAAATACCCTAGTACCAGCCTGCCTCCCACACTGAACAGACCTGATGTTCAAACAATGCATTGGGGAGGGATGAAAATGCCTCCTTAGTTAAGGTTGGAAGTAGTTTTCCCATTATACACTAGATTTTCAGCCTGCTAGCCTCAAGGCAAATCAACATCTCTTTACTTAGGCCTTGTCTATGCTAGGAACACTTTGCTCACTTAGCTATATTGGTCTCCCAAGAGAAATAAGCTGCACCAGCAAAAATGTAGATTAGTTGGTATAACTGCATCCACTGTGGAATGAATTTGAAAATCTAAAAGCCAAGATGAATAGAAGATCCTGGGCTTTGTATTACACAGAGTTCTAAAGAAAAAGAGGGGGTAAATTATTAAGCAGGTTACAAATAGAGATGAAAAACACAATAGTTTAACATCGACTGAATGTAAAGGAACTGTCAGAAACTGAAAGGAAGAGAAGAAAAGAACACAAGACATTTCTGTGGGCACTGACTTAAATTAGGGAAGCACAAATGGTAAAAGATAAAAGCTGTCTTTATATTTTAGGGGACTGCTCTATATTTAAATGTTATTTGATAAGTTTGGTTTGTTAATAAATAGTGTTAAAAAAAACCCTGCATCCACGGTAGGGGCCCAGCTATGTGAGTCTGAGATCATGCCTCGTCACTCCCTGAACCAATGCAGTTATGCTAATAAAAGATCAGTATGTATACCTGGCCTCAGAAAATGACATTTCAACCCATTAAATATTTCTTTCTAATCATAAGCACCATCTTAAAATGGAAATGAACCCTAGAAAACATCAGCGGTGTCAACAGTATTGTGCGTATCCAAATAACTAACTTGCAACCTGAAAAAACTGTACAACATCAGACTGAATTCCCCTTTTGCAACATAGGGCTTTACTCAGGTTCCAGTTTTTTGCTTCTGTCTGAAAAGCTTGAAAAGGAGCATTTATTCTACTGGCAATATTCTGTTTCACACTGCCCCTGTTTATAAAAACTACATTTTAAATTAAAGTGTGCTATTTCTCTCCATCCCTCATGCTTCTAAAACCCATCCTTTTGTTTGGTTGATGGAGATGGCCCTGTGTGAGGATGGATACAAAACAAGCTACCAAATGACCAGCAAGCATTATTGCTGAAAGAAACATACACTGCAAGAAGAGGTTCTAGTACAGAGGCAGACAAAACACAGCCCGCAGCCACATGGGTCCGAGCCCTGCCCGTTCACTCCTGGAACAGCCCACACTGTGCTCATGCTTGCACCTGCCCCATGCCTGCCAACGGCCCGACTCCAACCCCAGCCCCAGCCCCAGCCCCAGCCAGAATGCACAGCTTCCCAGTGGGGTTGCTCCCACTGCTGCTGCAGCTGCCCAGGTACTGCTTGGCTCCCTCTGCCTCCATCAGCTCTTCCTCCTCCTCCAGCCCCCGTGCTGCGCCACCCTGAGTATCCAGGAATATGGGGAAGCAGCAGTGGGGATGCATGCCAGGTACCACATGCCCAGCCAGGCAGAGGAGAAGCTACAGCTGGGCAGCTCCTGCCCCAGCACATGGGGCTCCAGCTCCTAGTTACTTTTCAAGAGGCAAAATGGGCCTGGCAAAATGAGCAGCAACCTGTGGGTGGCCAAATGGGTAGAAGGCAGCTATGAGTCAGAGCCCCATGCATAGAGGAAACAACCTCTCAGCTGCAGTTTCCTCCCTGCCTGGCTGGGCATGTGTGTCTGGCATTTATCCCCACAGCTGCTGCCACTTCCCCGTGCTACCTACTTCCCCTGCTGCACTCCTCTGGGCTGGAGGAGGAGGAGCCACTGGAGTCACGGAGAACCGAGCAGTACCCGGGCAGCTGCAGCAGTTCTCCTGTGTGCACTGGCAGGGCAAGAGCTAGGGTCTTTGGCAGGTGTGGGTGGGAGCACATCAAGGGCTGCCCAGAGCAGGAGCAGGTGGGGATCACCCCATGCAGAAGCCCCACTGGGAACTTGTATGCACTGCCTGGGGCCAGGACCATTGGCAGGTGCAGGCAGGCAGTGTGGCATGGGTTACCCAGGGCTGGAGCAGGCGGGGCTTACCCCCATGCATGGCACCATGGGCTGGATTGGGTAGGCAGACACACCAATCCCTACTCTGCACCACCTGGGCAAGCTCTGCTGCACAAGCCCCCTGCCCCCCACTCCTCTCCCATCACACTAGGTTGGCTCCCAGGATCTAGTGCACAGGCAGCCCCTCCACACACATGCCCCTCTTTTACACACACACACCACACACACACACACACACACACACAAG